TCAAAAATATTGGCACCCTTGGTAAATATGATCAAAGAAGCTGTGAAAATAAATCCGCACTGATTTGTACAAACTCGATTCCAAAAAAGTTGGGACACTGTACAAATTGTGAATAAAAACAGAATGCAATGATGTGGAATTTTCAAATTTCAAGATTTTAATTCAGAATACAACAGATGTAGCTCTCATGAAATCCAAAATGAGCCAATATTTGGCATGACATTTCAAAATGTCTCACTTTCAACACTTGATATGTTATCTATATTCTATTGTGAATAAAATATAAGTTGATGAGATTTGTAAATTATTTGTAAATAATAATAAATTATTATTACTCACAATTTGTACAGTGTCCCAACTTTTTTGGAATTGGGTTTGTATTTATTACACACACACACACACACACACACACACACACACACACACACACACACACACACACACACACAAAACCCTAAACTTTCATTGAAGTAAAATGGTAGGGAAGGGAAATCTCATTATGAAAGAACTGTTTTTCTGACTACAATTAATTGCACCCTTTTATTCAAAACTTTTTGCAACCTCCTTTTGCCAAGAGAACAGCTCTGAGTCTTCACCTATAATGCCTGAAGAGTTTGGAGAACACCTGACTAGAGATCAGAGACCATTATTCTTTACAGTATCTCTCCAGATCCTTCAGTTTCCCAGCTTTAGGGTTCAGATCAGAGGACTGGGATGATCATGGCAGAAGCTTAATTTTGTGCTCAGTGGCCCATTTTTGTGTTGATTTTGATCATTGTCCTGATAGAAGGACCAAACAAGGCCCATTATAAGATTTCTAACAGAGGAAGTCAGGTTTAGATTTTTTTTATCTGTTGGTATTTGCTAGAATCTATGATGCCATCTATCTGAACACGATGTCCAAGACCTCCGGCAGAAAAATAGGCCAACAATATTAAAGATCCAGCAGTATATTTCATTGTACACACTTTTTTTTTAATCCCTGTGTGCATCACCTTGAGTGTTTCCTGCAAAAAGAGCTATTTTTTTAGGTTCATCTGACCATAGAACCCAGTTCTGTTTGAAGTTCCAGTAGTCTGAATGTGCTGGAATTCGTTTTTTCCAAACCCTCCCAAACAACTTGTGGTGATGTAGGTGGTGTTTGATTATATATATAAATTTTTTTAGGCTTTCTGACCCCAAGACTCTTTGCAGAGTCTTTGGCCACGTTGCATTAAGACAATACAGACACATTAGACAATATACTGTAGGTAGATTTGTAACAGATTTATAGATTTGTTTCCTGTTGATTGGAACTATTAATTATTGTCATAATGGTGTAAATGGCCATTTTCAATGCTTTAGCTATTTATTTTTTTTTGTACTTTTATTTATTTATTTTATTTATTTATTTATTTTTCTTTCTATTTTGTTCTATTTTTTTTACTTTGTATTTTATGAAGGTCAACAATCTGTTGCTGCACATCAGAACTATATTCTTTGGTATATGATTAAGGGAATTTGGCCTATGTGTTCCTCATATTTATACTCCTGTGAAAGAGGAGGTCATGGCTGGACAATTTCATGCTCCTAGTCACCCTGGTGTGCTAACAAATGTAGATATGAATGGAAATATAGATATTCAGAGATTTTACTCATAATAATTTCTAGAGGTACAAATAGTTGTGGCCAATGTGTATTAGAGAAAATGTTTTCCTAGTGTGATTTTGTTGAAGTTATATATATTTGTTGAAGTAATATATATATTTAACTTATTAAACTTTTATTTTCTATTAAATTTTTATTTACTTTTTTTTTTTTTTTAAATATCGAAAGGATAAACAAGATTTATTTTCACAATCTTCTTTGATCATATGCACTTAGGGTGCCAATAATTCTGACCATGACCATAACATAATAAACAATAATAATAAAAATGCAAAACTGACAACACCTGATTGCAAGAATTTATGCAAGAATTCATTACAACCAGATTTCTAGGCATTCCTTTTCTTTTATTCCACACCTGATGTGTGCAGTTTATTTAGCTTGCTTTAAAAAAGTTTCATCTTGTTCAGTAAAGTATTTAATGTTTGATTGCAATATTTTTTCTGCTGCCATTGTTTCATGCAATTTAAAGCTTTTCTTGGTTCATTCCATGTTTTATAGGCAACCTCTGTCATGCTAATTCAGATTAGCACAGATTTTAAATGATTGGTTTATTTTAGTTCAGGACTCCATAGTCCAGGAGTTAGTAATCTGTATTTAATCTGTTTCAGAAAGCCATTTTGAACTATTCTAGATGAAGCCTACTCCAGACTTCATTTAAACCCTGTCTGGGAAACCGCCCCATTGTCTATTAAATCACTATATTTTACTATATTATATTACACTATACAATCAATTATTGGCCATTGCAGTTTCACAAAGTATTGAAAACTTTGAAAGAATTTCAACTTACACACAGAAGAGACACAAAATGTAATTTACATTATAGATGGTTCGCAGCAAACCTTATTTTCTTGATATTAATGTAACACAAAGAACACATTGTCCACAAGATGGCAAACAAATCCCATTTTAATGAGCAAATCTCGATATTACGCCTCCACTGCCATCTCATTCCTGTTCAACCGCGTGCATTATCCCCCCCCCTTATTTCTGACTAAATTGATCAGATTTGATTACTTATGTAATGTATAATTTGTGATTAAACTGGATTTTTCCTTACATTTCCTTGCACATTTCTGGTTGGAGAAATGTTTTACTTGAACCTCCCTGTGTTGGCCAGAAGCTCTAAGTGCCACCCAGTACGTTCCTAAATATAACAACATAAAGCGGGAATGCAGGCCTCTTAATGGGCATAAAATCAGGTCTCAATGGCTTTGAGTCAGCAAGCAATATATCAGTTAAATGTAAGTAAGCAGATTCAACATAAACAAGAAAACATAGGGCCTATGTGTAGGCTATAAGTTATATCATTTTCGCGTATTTCTATTATGTCATAAGCAATAGTGTATTAATATTAACATTAGATTATAACAAATAAAAACAACTAGTAATGTCTAACGATAAGTTTTGCAATGTTTCATTTAACAAATCCAAACACACAGAGCTTCCACAAAAAAGCTTGTCAACAGTTGCTAACGCAGGATTGGCCAATAAGGCATGTAGGATGGGATTTAGCAAGATCAATTTGCAAATAAAATAAAATATTATAAAATTATATATATATATATATATATATACAGTGGGTACGGAAAGTATTCAGACCCCCTTAAATTTTCACTCTTTGTTATATTGCAGCCATTTGCTAAAATCATAATCTAGAATTTCAAACATTTAGCAAACCATTTAGACCTTTGCCAAAGATATGTAAACATTTTCTGAGTTGTTGCTAAGATGTTCTGAGTGGTTTTTAGCACATTGCTTATGCCCACTTAAACTGATTTTCCATAAAATTAGCCATTTCATATAAATAAATAAAAAATGCATTTCTATACACATATTAAACAGAAGGAAAAAAGATAAAATAAGCAAGTTTTATTACTATCCTTTTTCAGGCACACTGAAAAGGTCACTTCAGAAATATCTTTGCAAAATACAGTGGGTCTATTAATCATGACAGTTGCCCTGACTAAATTAACATTTCATTTGCATGCATATTCATGCTCTTATATTTCTAATTATTTAACACAAGTCATTAACATGATTTCCTCTGATGACAAGAACTTAATTTTCATAAACAGTATGAATGTCACAGTAAACCACACATAAAATGGTCAGATCACACAATGTCACCTGTTACTTGAGGACATTCTGAAATTGTAATTACAATAATATATATGAGTGTCTGTGTGTATATATATATATATATATATATATATATATATATACTGTATATACACACACACACTACCATAAGTAATAAATGAAAGTATTAAACTGTAATTATGGTTATTACCATTAACTAAAACATTTCTGTTAATTAAAAAAATACATATAAAATACATAAAAAACTTAAACTAAACAAAAATGAGAAAAGTTGCCTTTGCAACTAACTGAAATAACTTAGTTGAAGCATTAAAATAACTCAAAAATAAATTAAAAACTAAAAATGATGGCTGCATGGCTGCAATATAACAAAGAGTGAAAAATTTAAGGGGGTCTGAATACTTTCCGTACCCACTGTATATATTGTGTGTGTGTGTGTGTGTATGCACACAAACACACACAGGTTTGTTTTTATGGTTTATGGGGACTCTCCATAGGCGTAATGGATTTTATACTGTACAAACCGTATTTTCTATTGCCCTACACCAACCCTACCCCTAACCCTACCCCTTACAGGAAACTTTCTGCATTTTTAGATTTTCAAAAAAACTCATTCTGAATTATTTATAAGCCTTTTGAATTACGGGGACACTGAAAATGTCCTCATAAATCACCTTCTCGTTGTAATACCTATGTCATACCCATGTTATTATACAAATTTGTGTCCTCATAAACCACATAAACATGCACACACACACACATACACAAACAAATAATGAACTATTAGGGTTAGGTTTTGAAAGTTTACTGTTACTTGTTTCCTTCTGGCTTGACATAGAAAAATCATTCCTGATCAGACACATACATTTAAGGACAGTAAAAATAACGAACTAGTAATAAATGGCATAATAAATTATATGTAAGATAATATTATATAGCCTATAATATTATTCTTATAAAACATTCATTCATTCAACATTCATTCAACATTCATAAAAAAAATAAAATAAAATAAATAAAAAAAAAAGCAATCCAATTATATATATTATATATATATAATATACAAGTTGTTTGGGAGGGTTTGAAAAAAACGAAATCCAATTTTCAAAGAAAAATTCATAGAAAATGTACATTAATAACAAAAAAGTATAAAAAAGTAATATGTACTTTTATTTGTAAATATTAAGACAAAAAGCATGATAAGATGAATCACCAACAGTTTGTAAACGCAGCTCACGGCGCGCTGTGACGCACACACGTCTTTCACCAGTGCGCGCTGATGGCGGACAACAGCTACTTCACAAACGCCTCGACCAGAGAGTCCGGAGAGAGAAAGTCCCTCCCAGAGACGCCTGCACCGGGGCTGTAGCGCTGTCATTTAGGCACCTGTTTTGGGAAGTAGAAGGAGGGTACTTTTAGTCCCCTTTTGTTGCGGGTTTCACTTTGAGTGGGGTGATATGTTGTACCGAGGACTAGTGGACTCTGATACACCGGACAGGATTTAGACAGAGCGCAACGCAACGCACGCAACGCACGCGGCTCTGTAACTTAGTGACAGAAATAACAAAAGCCCCAAAAGAAGACGCTGCCCGACCAGAGGAGATTATTATAGTCCTACTGTGGATATCTGCTCCGCCAGCATGAAGTTTGCGGAGCACCTGTCCGCCCATATTACTCCAGAATGGAGGAAACAATACATTCAATACGAGGTAAGATATTTATTTATGAATTTTGCATGCTGCATGTAGCCCCTAGTTGCGTCGCAGAGATTGTGAAGCAACTCGGAGGTAGCAGTATGAACAAAACTTCAGCGGGCTATTTGATTTGAACAGGTTGTAATTGTGAATATTGTGGAAGCTTCGAAAGATTGTTTACGGGCTTAAGTTGAATGATCTCTCTCTCTCTCTCTTTCTCTCTCTCTCTCTCTCTCTCTCTCTCTCTCTCTCTCTCTCTCTCGCTCTCTCTATAAACTTATCAGACCTAAAGTGAAACAATAATGTGTCTGAAAAATAAATTGCTAAATGCACTTTTTTGTTGTTGTAATTTTTGCATTGAAGTACACTATATGATAGCCTACTACACAATATAGTATGCATCATATACATAATTTGTCTCTTTATGTTATTTGATATTAATGAGGGAACCATTGGCAGCTTTTACATTCAGGCATTTTTATTTATATTTAAAACCATTTGTTGCTATTTCCCTTTTTTAAATTTCAGTTAATAGTGATTTTATTCTGGTTTCTTGACACTCTCACAAATCAGTGCATCTAGAGCATTGTCAAACACCTGCCTGCATATTTGGGACAAAGAAGGAGAAATTGCCTTAGAAATGTCTATGTTATATATTCTGTTTTAAACAGAATTGTGAAGTTATATTAAGTGAACTCGCCTAAATTCTTTCTTAAGTTTTCTTTTTTGGGATTAAGCCAGAAAGGTCATTTGATGTAATTTGTTTGCTCGCCCACTTTATGTCTGTGGCAATTAATTTGCTGAGTGTAGGAGTTAAATTTATTTCTGCAGAAAAATCTTTCTTTTTTTCTTTTGAATTACATTTTAGAATGTAGCTTGATAAAACAGCATATTATATGTACAATATTCATGATTTATGATTGTTGCACTCTTATTAAATATATAATATAGCATGAAAAAAATATATATCATGAAAGGTATTAATTCATAATTTCCACTGCAGTCCATGGTTTCCTACATTTTCAACCACCATTAGTTTTATGAATTATGAACAAAGGAAAGCTCTGAGAGATTCATGGTATATCCATCATTAAATATATCATGCCCCAATATTAAGCCTCTGCTTCAGTAGAATCTAATTCCAATTAAAAAAAAACATGATTCATTAAATTTAAGACATTTAAGAATTACTAGTTAAGAAATTATTATTATTATTTATTATTAATGAGTGTCGTGTAATATTTTATTTATCTTATGCTGTTTTTGTTGACATCTGAACAGTGGATGGAAAAATGTTGTACTGGTCATTCTAACTGTTGGTTAATGAATAATTTCACGCATGATTTTAATCTGATGTTGGTTTATTTATTGTTTCTGTGCTGTGGAATTATTGACTGCACCCTTAGACAATAAATCAGTGGTATTTGTTGTGTGATGGTGGATGGTCAGCTTCAGCATCCGTCTTGGCGCAAAGGAGGAGAAATCCTTTGTCTGGAGCAGTGAATCCGTAATCAGACGCAGAACCCAGACAAACATGCACTGTTGGAAAAACTGCAAACAAAACACATTTATCCATGACATTTGCAGTGATTGTCTGTTAAGAATCATTCTAGTAATTTTTTGTTCTTACATAGTTTGGCAGATTGAATAGTCTTTGACCATTTAATCAAAAATAGATGCATCTGTTGCAGATATTCTCAGGTGCTTTAGTGAATGCTGCCACTGTTGCATCTAAGATTGATTAATTCGTCTCAGTTGTCTTTGGGTGGACTTTCATTGTCAAACCTCAGTTACTAGCCGCATGTACCAATTTGCATGTGCGAATGGACTGCAGTGAGATTCCAGCTTGATCTGTCAAGGACAAGACAAAACCATTTTTAATTTCTAATGATCAACCTGTCATTTGACACTACCAGAGATTGTTATATGGATCTGTGAGCTGTATTGACACTGTTTACATGACAGATATATGATTAGCAATATCCTTTCCAGCACTGTATTGCCTTATCAATGAACTGTCTGACTCTATTCTTTACATGAGGTGATAGATTGTGCAGAAATGGGAGTCTAGGCTCTGATTTTCTCTTGGCAAGATGAAGACAAACATCTTTTTTCAGCTACATTCAATATAAAAGGAGTGTATCCCAAAGAAAAGCAGAATTTATTAATGTTTGGTCATTGAAATCCCTCTGTGAGCAGTTAAGCCATGATTACTTGACGAACTCGTCTCTGCTCATCTATTGCTTTGCCGCCTGTGGCTAGCAGTGCAATAGAAAGTCAATGGGAAGTAGCACCACAGGCTCTACGCAATAAAACCCCATAAACTGTTTTTAGGAACCCAATAAAGAATGAACTTCTTAAAGGGGTCATAGGATGCACATTTTCCACAAGTTGATATGATTCTTTGGGGTCTTAATGAAAAGTCTGTAACATAGTTTGGTTAAAATTTCTCAATGGTAGTGTAAAAATGGTAGGGTTTCTGGGAGGTTGCTAGTAGGGTGATTCTATGCGGTTGCTAAATATTCTGAGTGGTTCTTAGTGTTTTTTATGTGGTTGCTAGTCTGTTGTAGGCAGTTGCTATAAGGCATTGCTAGGAAATGTTAGGGTTTTGCAGAGTGCGAAATGAGAAGAGTCCACCAAGTATTTGTGATCCCCAGGTAAGACTTGGATCCTTCCTTTAATGTACATCTGTGAGATTAATTTTGCCTATTTTATCTTCCTCTGGTGCAAAATGTTAGTCCGATCATATGAGGTATAATTCATGTGTGTAGCACAACGGTACAAGTCAGGCTTTGGGCCAAATTTGTAAAATTTTAAAGATTTAGAATAAATCACTAAACCGAACCATGAGCAATAGTTCTATACTTGCCTTACCAACAATATATATATATATATATATATATATATATATATATATATATATATACAGAGTATATGAAGAGTTCATTTGCAAAAATCCGATAACTCCATTTTTATAATTTTTTTTCAGAAATCATTTTTTTTTATTGCGCATTCCAAGTAATATCAATCAAACTGCAGTTGGGTTGATTTGATTAAGTAATAATAACTTAAACAAATACAGGTAATTTACAAAATTAAAGTTAATTGAAAATATGTTTTTTTTTTTACATATTAAAAGTTTTATAGCAAAAGCAGGCAACCAACAGTTGTTTTTTGGCAAAAGCAGACAACTCCACATTTCATGTTTTGGAGTTTAAAAAACACTCGTTTAATCTTTGTAATCTCCTCAGATGACAATGTAGATACCTGACAAACATTGTTGTGATCATAAACTGTATGAATGTGATTACACTCAATACACAGTGCTTTTCCCTCACCCGTAACCCGCTGCTTTTGCAAGGTTCCGTGAAAACGTTTCAGCTTTTATTTTCCTTTTTCGCCCTGAAGAAGATATCACAGGTTCATCAAGTTCGTCGAAATTATCCATCCTCGATCACTTTTAACAGCTAGCACGTCTTTTCAAAGTGAAAGTAGCCTTGTCACCTGACCTGAATACAGCGCGCTGATTTGCTAAAATGGACTTATCGGCTTCTGTTCAAAAACAACAAGGGCGCTTGTCTGCTTCTGCAGACAAAACCGGCTTTTTTGACAACACGTGTTTAGGGTTCAGATCGCGCTATATGTGGAGAATAATGCACGGCAATCA